TTTTTTTTTCAGTATCTCACCTGTATTGTCTCCCCATGATCTGTGGTAAACCCTCTGGATCTATCATTATACTCCTCAAAGTGGCAGTGTGAGGCCTCAGGGGAAAGCAACAGGTATATTCCATGTAGGGGAAGTTTCTTGTGGTAAAACCATTTTAAGACCATCATCTTCCTTAACAAGAAGCAAAGCTGTGAGCAGCCCTGGATACCTAGATTCACGGGATAAGATATATTCAGTGTAAAAGAATTAGTCACCCGGGGAAGGATCTGCTGCTGCTGCTGCTGTAGGTGTACCATGAAAACAACCAGAAACTGTTTATTTTTATTTCCAAGCACTCCCAATTCACAGTCACAGATTAGTTTTTGTGGCAGCATTTGTCGTGATTTGTTTACTTTCAGTTCAGACACACAAGAAAGACTTAATTCAACATTAATACTTACTGGCTACATTTTGTGGGTTACTTGTCCTGCTCGGGAAGTCTTGTGCCAAACCAGTGCCGAGGATCTGCGTCTCTTATAAATCTAGATGCAGGGGCGGTGCCAGACTTTGGAAGAGAGAAGGTTTCTCCAGCTAAGAATAGAAAAGCATGAAGGCTCACCATCTCGATGCCCTTTTTGGCAGAGGAAAGATACTGCGACACTTCAGCAGCACTTCTCCATATGTCAGTGTCTTTTAACCTGTTCGTGACCCATATCTAACTCATACCTTACCTGAAAAAAAGATCCTGCTGATGTTAATCAAACTCTCAGCTAATTTTCAGGTTTAAAACTTAAGACACGCAGTAAAAGAAAGTATAAGTATATTTGTTTGTCACAATGAAGTATTATCTGTATTTATGTCCCTGTTTTTCTTTAATGTTTGAAAGTACTGTGCTCTCCCTTTTTCTGTCACAATATTACAAAAAACAATAAAATTCTAATATTGGGTAGACATAAAGGAACTTCTTGTGAGCCAAAAACTTCACACCTTCTGTTTGCATGGGACAGCCAATCAGAAAACATCTGGCTTAAAGGGAACTGACACAGCAGCACAAACATCCATTATAAGATTTGTATGTCTGTTGCTTTTGTTGTGCTTTTTCTTGTTTTTGGTTCTCTAATTTCTTCCCACTTTCTGTGTTGCTGAGTGATTTTTCTTACTGTAATTTAAAAAAATAGGGAGCTCGAAACGGGACTTATATAATCATTTTAATATATTGGACTTGTCTGGAATAAGACAGTGTTTCGTTATTGTGCATAGTCACTGCGTCTTGTAATTGCTGATGTTTAAGACACCTGTCGAGCTCCTAATACCAGACTGATGTTTTTCTTTCAGTACTTACTGCAGGTAACCTCTCACAAGGTTCGTACTGTTATAGCAGTTCATACAATGTGATTGGGACATACTAGCTCATAATAATAATCTTAACATTGTGCCTTGAGCTTTGACCTGCTTACCTTCAGGCTCTGCTGTTGTGTAGCTGGCAGAGAGCATCGTGGGGCAGAAAGTCCAGAGCAGCAGTGGGAGACGCCAGCATTTCTGGCACACTTAATTTAAGAAAAGGTATAATAGTATACACCAAACGTGTGTTTAAGCTTGAACCCAAGCAGCTTGTGTGTCGAACACAGCTACTATCAGGTCCAACTGCAGCCTTGCAGACCCATTGAGCCAACTTCACACTGTTACACAACACCCCGCTCCATCTTAAACCTAACTTTAACCCCACCTCACTTCATTCAAATACCATGTGGTGCAGTTTCAGCTAAATATACATGATACTGTTCTGCTCCAGATAAGGGCGAATGAACTGTATTTTGTTTTTAAAGAGTGGATTAAAAATTTGTAAAGACAGATTGCAGTCTTAGCTGTAATAAAACAGAAAAGATGCAAAATATATTTATATTATGTAGGATTTAAATCTGGAGTCAGATTAAACATAATAATTTGCTTGTATTATTTATTTGTTAATATATTGATTTTAAAAAAAAAGGTATAGCTGAACAATGAAGGCACTGACCATTGTTAGGCTTTGAAAATAAATCCCCAAAGAAACACCTTTGAGCATAACAAACAGAAGCTTGTTTAAAAGCTGTGCAGCTAGCCTTAAGAAAAGAGTTATAGTCATAAATGACAAAAGAAAAGATGGACATATTTTATGGGAACGGGCTCCCTCCGTGAAAGCTGTTAGGGCACTGAAACTGGGATAGTCTGATACAGATGCAAAGTGCCACCTTGTGGTCAATAAGACAATATACGCAATGTGAAGTTTTTCCAGATTGTTGCATGTCTTCATGTTTCATTTGAAACTGTCAGCTGTTATCGTTGTTTTGTTGTTGTTGTTTTGTTCGTTTGTTTTTTTTAGCTTGATAAACTGGTTGTGGTGACTTTTTAACTCCATATAAAGATATCTTTAGCTCTAAAGGGGCATTTTAGCCGTGATCAACGTGTCAAATAACAAGGAGTGATATTAAAATGAAAAAGTAAGTTCTGCTCAACAAAAAATATTACTTAAACAACAACAACAACAACAACAACAATCTTTATTTATAGAGCACATTTAAAAACCAGCGGTATACCAAAGTGCTTAACATAAGAGACAGAGAAGTAACACGAGTATTATAAGGCCTTAGCAAAGTATCAAATATACTCACAGGTCAATGCCACTAATACACAGGGGTAGTATAAAATGCATATCAAATAAAAACATAATAAAAGCACAAGCCATAAAAAATATGTATAAGGAAAAGTAGAGTAAGTCTAAGAGTCAGGTGCCAGCATTAACAAGCAGGAAAGGCGAGATTAAACAAATAGGTTTTTAACCGTGATTTAAAACACAACAACTCATATCCTTTTATGTTCTTTAGTGTTCCCTGAGCTTCACCAGCTCGAGGTGATGCATTTGGCTGAGTTAAGTTTACACCCTTGCGTGAAATTTACTCAGCAAACGTTCTTGTCTAACCGCACGTAACCACAGCAAGGGATGGGTTAAATTCTTTAGAAGCTTGACTTAGTGAAAGTAACTGGACTGAATTCGACAAACGAGCCGGGAAAAAGGATTCAGCCCTCCTCTTCTCTCCATCTCTCAGTCCTCCTGAGAAGTGCTATGTTGTTTTGTGTCAGAGCTGAAACTGGAAGCGCACTGCCGATTTTAATCCATTCTCCACGAAGCTTCTACGTCTGTGCACGCAAACTTACGTGATGTTTGCTAACTTACACGTGGGCTTTAATTTATTAAGTTTAATTGCCATGGCTAAACGGTCACTTTTATTTTTATATATTTTCCAAGGACTACTCCCCCTCAGCTTTGGGCAGCAGCGCACGGTTGGCCCCTGGCGGCACCGGATTCAATGGGAGAACAACGGGCAGGTTTACAGTTTAATGAGCACTGGGCTGGAGTACCAGGCTCCGTATCGGTCCACCAGCCAGTCGAGGGTTTACGTGAGCAGTCGGAGGGATGGTACCGGGAGCCAGATGTCTGGAGCGCGCAGAAGAATGACGCTTGTGAGAACCGGACCAACTGACTCCAGACAGTTCAGGACTGATAACAGTGCACAATCGGGACTTCTCACACCTGGACACGATGTTAGACCGTATGCGCCCGTGAATCGTCACGCGTCAGGGTTCAGACAGCGACATGAACGCCCTACGGCAGCAGTTGTAAGACATCCAGGCGCACGCCATTTTAATGGTGAATTCACCAGAACCACGAACGCCTCTTCACCGGGGAGTTCAGCAGATTTTTCTGGCGGTAATGGAGGTTCTGTCACTGTGGATAATACCGCACTACATACTAGAATAGGTGAATCCGGACCTGGTGCGCAAAACCAACAGTTACGCGCGGGGCCGGAGGTGACGCCCGTCTCCAGGCAACCTGCTCAGACTGATCGCTCCATCTCTGCACACCCGTCAGGTCTGGAAAATGAGTCTGAGGCACCGGCTGTATTTCCTGCACTTACTGAGGAAAACAGCAATGGAGAGGACATGGTCAATGACGACCCTCGAAACCCGCTTAAAAACCACAGGAATTCTGTTTTCTACAACATGTATCCGACCAGAGGGAGGTCAGCGGCCCGCACCCTCCGTCCGCCTGGCACAGGGTACGGCACAGGATATTTCCAAAACGGTAGGTCAAGTGTTCCATTTATATAATATTAGAGAAGTCAGATTATGTAGATCAGGGGTGTCAGACATAAGGCCTCTGTCTGCCCAACGGGACAGTGTAAAGGATAGTTCAGATTTTGAACTTTTAAGAGTAATTTATTAAGTTTTACAGTTTTTGCTATTGATCCATTCATACTACATAAAAGTACATTTTCTGTGAATTAATGAAAACTTTATATTCTAAATTTATGATAACAAGACAGAACCTTTACACCTTAATCATTTCGTTTCACTGATCAGGCCCACTTCACATGAACGTCCACGATGTAAAATGAGTTTGACATCCCTGATATTTATTAGCTGTTCTTCAAATTTTGTATTTTATATAGTTAGCCAAATGGATAGATTTGCAATGTAAATTATTGAAATTAAGAGTGGATTAAGAAACTGTGTCTGTGATCAATATTTTAAAATAATATAATTCCAGCAAGCAAAACCTGTTTTAGTGTTAATTTGGCCACTACTTTAAAACAGCTTTTTATCCCTTATTTGGCACAAATATTACTGGCTTTACATTCATGTAACGGTTCTATGGACACACAAAAACACTGTTATATTTAAAATCATCTGCTTGTTTGATTATTTAAGGACAATTTTCATAACTTTATGTCTCACTTTAAACAAAAAGCCAAGGAGCGAGAGAAAAAAAAGTCTTATTTGGCTTTTGGAGCTGTAAGGAATGTGAAACATGTTAAATTATGCCAACAAACACAAAGCAGTTTACATTTTCAGGGTGTCTATTTCTGTGGATTATTCTCAGCATGAATAAGTTGGGAACATTAAGATGTCAGGAGGAAAAAAAAAACTTGGACTGTCCATTTAATCTCCTCCCAACAGGACTGCCAGACCTTGTGCCAGACCCATATGCCATCCAAGCAGGTACCTATGTCCAGCGCATGCAGATGTACGCGCTTCGCTGTGCGGCTGAGGAGAACTGTCTGGCCAGGTAATCTGAGGTGCCAGAAGTGATTCACTTCTTCAGTATGAACAGAGCAGCACGTAGACACTGAGGCAGACACACATACTCATGTCCTTTGTTTTGTTTTTTTCTCAGTGGGGAATCGTTTTACATGCTTAAGAACAACTTTTAGTTGTTTTAGGGTTGCATTCAATTATGCCAGTGTAAGCTGTTAAGCATGCTGGGATAACTGTTTTGTTAAGCGAGTTACAAAAGCATTTGATCATATTACGTAGCACTGATTGTCCAACATGATTGTCTAACATCATGTCCTGCCAAGACATAAATGTTCTGGTTTGGTTTTCCCAAAAGCATTAAGCACAATGGAACAAACCCTTTGCGCTCTGTTACTTTTAAGAAAACTAGACCTGGGAGCTCAGCCAGTAGCACTTTTCCAATGCAG